GTCCACTTCCATATCGATATCGAGATCACTCCCGTCCCCGAACCGCGTACTACTCGAATCCGCCGTGGTCGCCGTAAACGCGCGGCCGTGGACGCGCTCGAGGGCGTGGATCCGCTGGCATAGCACGGACGGCGTCGATGAGGACGAGCGGCAGGGGCGGTCGGTGGTCGTGCTGGCCATCTAGCGAGGAGAATCGAAGGGAAAGGAGAAAGAGCGTTGCGTGAAAGTTGACTAAGCAAATCAGTCACGCTTCGGCTGTTCCCGCAACTGAAGTTGAAATCATAATGCGGGGATTCGAATATTGATTCGCGTGGTTTGCAGGCGAAATTACATCTACATGTACATACCACCGGGTCTCCTCTCTCCTCTCTTGTTCAAGGTCGGGTGTTGGAGATGCGGACGTTGAACCCTGTAACCTGTTTTGTTGAATGTTCGTCTCCACGCGCCGCAAAATTGGCCCGCTGTTGGATGATTTTGAATCGGGAGTTTGTAAGACTAATAGTCTTGGAAGAATACTGAAAGAAAACGAAAAAAGCAGCTATTGTCCTCATGGGCCGACCTCGAGTCGAACGGGGCTCACCTGCTGTATTAGTTACACATTGACGAATAAACGCAGGTGTGGCCTCCCACCACCGGGCCTCTTGGCTCTTCTCATATTCACCATTCAGGGTGTTGGATATGAGGATTGTCAAACCCTTCTTTGTTCGACTCTGTGCACCGCAAAATGAATAGGCAGGTTCTATAAATTATGGCTGCCGCGTTGATTTTGAATCGGGATTTCGTAACACTAGTCTTAGAAGAATATTGACAGAAAACGAAAAAAGACCCAGCTTGGGGTGCTGTATTCGTTACACATTGATAAATAAGCGCAGGCGTGGCTCCCACCACCAGGCCTCTTGTCTCCTCTCCCGCTTAAGGCTGGGTGTTGGAGATGTGGCTGTTTCGTGACTCGTTGAACGTTCGACGCCAAGCGCCGCAAAATCCGCAGGTTCTGTGTATCGTGGGCACGCCGCATTGACTAATTTTGAATTGGGATTTCGCAAGACTGGTCTTAGAAGAATACTGAGAGAAAACAAATAAACTTAACTACGCCCTATGGCCCGGCCCCGAGTCGAACGGGGTTCTCCTGCTGTATCTATCACACCATGATTATTAATAAACGCAGGCGTGGCCTCCCACCACCGGGCCTTAGTTCTCTCGGTGGGTTCCAGGTCTGGTTCGCATTTCGATAACTGCCATATCGGAACCGTGACTCTGCCCGGACATCCAATCATTCGCAATCCGAACAGCTCTATTCCGTCAATTGAGAAGCGCCGCACCCGGCGGGTCGAGTGCACCGTATATTGATAAGTTAAACAATCCTACCCCAAAGAAATGTGATCTTGAACCAAGAGTCTAAGGAAGGAGGGAATCGGGGATGGATGGAGGGGGAAAATTTTGGTTGAACGACTTACGACCCGGCTCCGAATCGAACGGGTTTCGTTTGCTGTAACCTCATAGACATCGATGAATAAATGCAGGCGTTGACTTCCACCACCGGGCTTTTTCTCTCCTCTTCAATGTTGGGTGTTGGAGATGAGGCTTTTTCGTTGAGCGCCGCAAAATCGGCTACTCCTCGGATCGTACGTTCAAAAAGTTTATGTAATTCGTGCGAATTGAACGAAGAAGACCCTCAAGCTGGGTCCCGCCACTCACTATTCTACGCAAAAAAAGGCCCGGGACGGGGAGATCAATTCTTGCAATTTGCCAGCGAGAAAGGACGTGAAGAAAAAACCAAACACCAGAATAGCACGGCCCGGCCCTGAATCGAACGGTGTTCTCCTGCGTAATTGCACGTTATCCTCCCTCGATTAGAAGGTGCAGGCGTGAGCGCCCACCACCGGGCCTCAGTTCACTTGGTGGGTTCCAGGTCTGGTACCACAGGATTTTGGTGGGTCTACCCCGATACGCAACTCACAGTCAAATCCACCCAAACAGCCTGAGTGCTCTCGTTGAGAATGTGCTGCGTCCGGCGGGTCGAGCTTGTACCGTACAGTACTAAGCATACCATCTCCCCCCAAAAAAATGCGATCTCGAAGGCAATTGCAACATCAAGTCCAAGGAAGGTGATGAAAAAAAAAACCCTTATCAACGCCGCACGGCCGGGCCCCGAATCGAACGGGGTTCTCCTGCGCAAACTATTACGTTCTTCCTGGAAGGTGCAGGCGTGGGCGTCCACCACCGGGTCGTAGTTCGCTTGGTGGGTTCCAGGTCCGGTACTACAGGATTTTGGCGGCCGGTATCTTGGATCTACCCTATCGAGTGCAACCCAAACAGCTTTATTCTGCCATACAATTTAGGAAAGATAAGTACTCCCAGTTCGAGTGCACTGTAACAGTACTAACTATATCTGAGCCCTTGAAAGTGAGATCTTGAAAGCAATCGCAAAACCACGTCCAATGGATGGATGAAAAAAAATCCCTTACGACTTCAACCTCCGCAACCCGGCCTCGGCTCAAACGGGGTTCTCCTGCGCAAACTATTACGTTCTTCCTAGAAGATGTAGGTGTGGGAATCCACCACAGGGCGTTAGTCCTCTTCGTGGGTTCCAGGTCTGGTACTACAGGATTTTGGTAGCCGTCTCTACCCTGTCGAGGGCAACTTAAACAGCTTTATTCACCAGTCGAGAATGCGCACCTGGCGGTGGGGGTCGAGTTTGCACTATATATATAAACAATCCCACTCCCACCTTATAAAAATGCAATCTTGAAGGCAATTGCAAAATTAAGTCCAAGGAATGGATGGATGAAGAAAAAACCAAATACAAACCTATGCTACGGCCCGGCCCCGGCTCGAACGGGGTTCTCCTGCGGAATTATTCTCAGCAGCGACGAAGACATGCAGGTGTGAGCCATCCACCACCGGGCGTTAGTCGTCTTGGTGGGTTCGAACTTTCAGGTCCATCGTCTTGTAACTCGCTCGCGCAACGCAAACAGCCTCATCCCGCCAGTTGACAATGCGCTGTACCCGGCGGTGGTGGGTCGAGTTTGCATTGTACAGTATATGTATATAAATAACCCCACTGTAACCCCCATAAAAATGCGATCTCGAAGGCAATTGCAAAATTAAGTCCAAGGAATGGATGGAGAAGAAAAAACCAACCACAAACGTACGTTACGGCCCGGCCCCGGCTCGAACGGGGTTCTCCTGCGCAATCATAGATTATTTCTTCGATAGTTAGAAGGTGCAGGCGGGGGCATCTACCACCGGGTTTCCTTTGTTCTCTACGTTGTGTCGGATTGAACTTCTAACTTCTCGTTGTATTGTGTAGGGATTTCGGGCACTCGTTAGAGATTTGGAACGATCGTTCAAAAATTTTATGTAATTTTTGGGCCGCTTGAACCAACAAGACTCTCAACTTGCTGGGTCCAGGGGCAGGTTATCACCCACGGGACACTGCAAGAACGTCAAATATAAATATCAAATGGCCCGGGGCCAGGGAGCCTGAGATCGTTGCAATATGCCAGCGAGACGGGACCAAAAAATCCCGCACATATGTTATGACGGCCCGGCCCCGGCTCGAACGGGGTTCTCCTGCAGAAGTGGGTTCTCAACGAGTAGAACATGCAGGTGTGGGCCATCCGCCACTGGGCTTTAGTTTGTTTGGTGGGTTCCAGGTCTGGTTAGGCATCTCGTAACTCATTCCAGTCTACCGTGCCAGTGACAGGCAGTCGAGTGCAACCCAACCGAAACAGCCTTATTCTGCCATACGATTTAGGAAAGGTAAGTACACCCAGGTCGGATGTACCGTACGTATATCCCTCCCCCAACAGAAAACGAGATCTTGGAGAGAAGGCAAAATCAAGGAAGGAGGGAATGAATGAAAAAAAATGCGCATCGGCTGGATTTTGTATGGCCCGGCCCCGGGTCGAACGGGGTTCTCCTGCTGTACTTCGAATTTCACGACAGCAAATAAACGCAGGGGTGGGCCTCCCACCACCGGGCCTTAGGTCTGCGTAAGATTTATTCCAGTGGCCCGTTCGAGCATGCTGCTCCTGATATGCACCCAGCCTTGTTCCGCGGGTTGCGAATGCGCTGCACCCGGCGGCGGGGGGGCGAGTTTGCACTACACTTGTCATACTATATATGTACATGTAGGCGATCTTGAACTATATACGCAGGCAATCTTGAAGGCAATCCAAAAATCAAGTCCAAGGAACGTGATGATGAAAAAAAATGCCTTACGGCTTACGCGTACGGCTTCAATCTTCACGGCCCGGCGGGGTTCTCCCGCTCATTCTGCACCAGAAATATTTATAATGAGGTGCAGGTGCGGCTTCCCACCACCGGGCCTCGTTCCTCTCTGTGTAACTGTAAGTGTCCAATGTGTCGTGTCGTGTCGGTTCCAATGAATGGCTTCCGTACATTTTCATCATCTAGCGGATAGTTGTAATGTCAACAAAACAACTCCAGTCTCAGTCTGCTCCTTCTCGCCCGCAAAAGATAAGTTCCCCGCGAAACCAGAATGCCATGTAAAAAAAACAACATCAATGCCATTATGGCCCGGCCCCGAATCGAACGGGGATCTCCTACGTACTCCTACTGTATCTGAACCTTAGAACTTAACATAGGCGTGGGCATCCACCACCGGGCCTTAGTTCCCTTGATGGGTTTCAAGTCCGGTACTACAGGTGGCGGAACTCTGAACTTGTTTGAGTGACGAGCCTACCCTGTTACGCGATCATTCGCAGTCGAGTATTCCGCCAATTGAGAATGCGGCACCCGTCGGCGGTGGGTCGAGGTTGCACTCACTGTACAGTTAGTACTAAGTATATAACCCCATAAAAATGGGATCTTGATTCAGAACAAAGGGGAAAATTATGTCTACGGAAGGAGGGAATGGATGGTCTCAACACCCACGCACGATTCTACGCACCTACACCTAAATAAAAGCAGGCCGGGGCCAAGGAGATCATCTATTGGACTTTGTGAGAAGGGATAAAAAACTGGATGATGCAACACGGCCCGGCCCCGGCTCGAACGGGGTTCTCCTGCTGTACTTCGAATTTTCACGATAACAAATAAACGCAGGGGTGGGCCATCCACCACCGGGCCTCTCCTCTCCTCTCCCGTTGAAGGCTGGGTGCTGGATGTCGAACGGTGTTTCGTCGAACATTCGACGCCAAGCGCCGCAAAATCGGCAGGTTCTGAGTTATATACCGTGGGCCGCTGGGTTGATTATTTTAATGCAAGCCTGAGTCACCACGGCACTCTGATCGAATGGAATATTCGTCGGAGCGTACGTCGAATTTCGTTGTTCCATTGCCACTTAAATAATAAGACTCTCACCTTGCTGGGTCCCGCCACGATCAAATATACCCCACCGACAGGTCAAGCAAGAGAAACGGTCCGGGACGGGGAGATCATTGATTGCACTTTGCACTTTGCCAGCGAGAAGAAAAAGCTGTTAGAGAAACGGGGAACGGCCCGGCCCCGAGTCGAACGGGGTTCTCCTACGTACTCCTGCGTAATCACCCGCTATCCAGAAGGCGTAGGTGTGGGCATCCACCACCGGGCGTCAGTCTTCTTGGTGTGTTTCCAGTTTTGTATAGGTGATAAGGATTTTGGCGGCCGGCATCTCAGCGTTTGAGTCTACCCTAATGCGCAGTCGAGCGCAACCCAAACAGCCTCATCCCACCATCCTCCTCTCATCGATTCAGTAAAGATAAGCACGCCCAGCGAGTCGAGTTTGACGTCCTAAAATCAAGGTGATGAAAAAAAATTCCTTGCAGCTTAAGTATGGCCCGGCCCCGAATCGAACGGGGTTCCCCTGCTGTATCCCTTTGACGTCGTGCAATAGACGCAGGTGTGGGCCATCCACCACCGGGCCTTAGTCCTCTTTGGTGGCTTCCAGGTCTGGTTGGGCATCTCATAACTCGTGAGTCCAGTCTACCTTGCCAGCGACAGGCAATCGAGTGCACCCAACCCAAACAGCCTTATACTGCCATACGACTTGGAAAAGATAAGCACGCCCAATTCGAGTGCACTGTAACAGGACTAACTATATCTGAGCCCTTAAAAGTGAGATCTTGAAGGCAATCGCAAAATCAAGTCCAAGGAAGGAATGAATGGATGCAAAAAAAAAATTCCAGGTCTCAATGCCACACAACCCGGCCCGGCTCAAACGGGGTCCTCCTGCAGAAGTGGGGTCTCAACGTAGAACATGCAGGTGTGGACATCCACCACCAGGCCTCGTGCCTCTCTCTGTGTAACTGTAAGTGTCCAATGTTTCGTGTCGTGTCGTTTTCAGTGAATGGCCTCCCTACATTTTCATCTGGCGGGTAGTTGTAATGTCAACACAACAACTCCAGTCTGCTCCCTCTCGCTGGCAAAAGATAAGTTCCCCACGAAATCAGAATGCCATGTAAAAAAAACATTCCGAATACATGGACGCAATTATGGCCCGGCCCCGAATCGAACGGGGTTCTCCTGCTGTACCTTTTGGACAACAATTAATAAACACAGGTGTGGCCATCCACCACCGGGCCTCTCCTCTCCTCTCATGTTTAGGGCTGGTTGTTGGAGACTCGGATGCCGAACCCATTTCCTTTTTCGTTGAACGTTCGAAGCTAAGAGTCCCAAAATCGGCAGGTTCTAAGTTATGTACCGTGGCCCACTGGGTTGATTATTTTTCTGTTAGTCCTCAGTCACCACGGCACTTTGATTGAATGGACTATTCATCGGAGCGTACACCGAATTTGGTTGTTCCACTGCCACTTGAATAAATAAGACTCTCAAGTTGGGCATCATCCACCCACGACTCTACACACCGACACTTCAAGAAATCAATAAAAATAAAACTGGTCGGGGGCCAGGGAGCCTGAGATCGTTGCAATATGCCAGCGAGAAAGGACGTGAAGAAAAAACCAACCACCAAAATAGCACGGCCCGGCCCTGAAGCGAACGGGGCTCTCCTGCGTAATTGCACGTTATCCTCCCTCGATTAGAAGGTGCAGGCGTGAGCGCCCACCACCGGGCCTCAGTTCACTTGTGGGTTCCAGATCTGGTACTAGGATTTTGCCTAGTCGCAACTCGTTCGTGCAACCTAAACAGCTTTATTCCGCCAATTGAGAATGCGCACCCGGCGGGTCGAGTTTGTACTGTACAGTACTAGGTATACCATCCCCCCAAAAGAAAATACGGTCTTGAAGGCAATTGCAAAATCAAGTCTAAGGAAGGTGATGAAAAATACGTGATCGTCCAACACTATATGGCCCAGCCCCGAATCGAACGGGATTCTCCTGCGCAATCTAATACCTTCTGCCTAGAAGGTGCAGGCGTGGGCATCCACCACCGGGCTTAAGTTCGTTTGGTGGGTTCCACGTTGTGGGTAGGGATTTATCTCAGTGGCCCTCATCTTGAGTCCAGCTGATACGCAATTCGCAGTCGAACACCCAAACAGCCTTATCCGCCAGACTGTGCTCGTTGACAAAGTTGAGCTTGTACTGTGCAGTAATATACGATAAACAATCCCACCTCCATAAATGCGAGCTTGAACAAAGCGCAAAAAATAAGTCTCAGGAAGGATGGATGCAAAAAAAAATGCCTTATCAACGCCGTATGCCATGGCCCGGCCCCGGATCGAACGGGGTTCTCCGGCTCATTCTGCACGAGAAATATTTATTTCTAATGAGACGCAGGTGCGGCCTCCCACCACCGGGCCTCGTGCCTCTCTCTGTGTAACTGTAAGTGTCCAATGTGTCGTGTCGTGTCGGTTCCAATGAATGGCCTCCGTACATTTTCATCATCTGGCGGGTAGTTGTAAAGTCAACACAACAACTCCAGTCTGCTCCCTCTCGCTGGCAAAAGATAAGGTCCCCGCGAAACCAGAATGCCATGTAAAAAAAACAACATCAATGCCATTATGGCCCGGCCCCGAATCGAACGGGGATCTCCTACGTACTCCTACTGTATCTGAACCTTAGAACTTAACGTAGGCGTGGGCATCCACCACCGGGCCTTAGTTCCCTTGATGGGTTTCAAGTCCGGTACTACAGGTGGCGGAACTCTGAACTTGTTTGAGTGACGAGCCTACCCTGTTACGCGATCATTCGCAATCGAGTATTCCGCCAATTGAGAATGCGGCACCCGTCGGCGGTGGGTCGAGGTTGCACTCACTGTACAGTTAGTACTAAGTATATAACCCCATAAAAATGGGATCTTGATTCAGAACAAAGGGGAAAATTATGTCTACGGAAGGAGGGAATGGATGGTCTCAACACCCCCGCACGATTCTACGCACCTACACCTAAATAAAAGCAGGCCGGGGCCAAGGAGATCATCTATTGGACTTTGTGAGAAGGGATAAAAATTGCATGATGAAGGAAGTGGCACGGCCCGGCCCGACTCGAACGGGGTTCAACTCCTGCTACATCTCTCTTGGTCTGTAGTCAGTCAGCGTAGACGTGGCCTCCCACAACCGGGCCTCGTTTCAACTCTTCTTTCTCTTCGGCTTTCATGGATCGGGTCGCGGAAATGGGCAGTGTGACTCGTGGCCTAGTACATTCACATCTGGAGCAGAGTAATTACATGTAACTCCGTATGTATCTCGTTTGCGAAGTACCGTCGGTGTTGCGTATCAGTCTGCTCCAACTCGCCGCCTGACAATGAAATTTGGTTGAAAAAAAAAATCTTAATACATCAACGCAATCGTGCATGGCCCGGCCCCGATTCGAACGGGGTTCTTCTGCGGAAGTATGTTTGAAACTGGGCCGAATAACATGCAAGTGCGGGCATCCACCACCGGGCGTTAGTCTTCTTCGTGGGTTCCAGCTTCAGGTCTGGTTAATATTTACTTCGCCAGCCGGCATTTCGTGTGCTCTAGGTTTGAGTGGATATGGGCCATGGCTTTCGAGTCTAAATTGTTCAGTTCTTCGCCGCGCAACCAAGCTCTTAGCTCCTCCGAAAAAAAAATTGGACCTATGTAGCTCTCAATTACCTTGGTTGCAGGTCCGTCCTGGCTCTTAACTCCAATTCCCTTGGTTAGGTATTCTCAGCAACAAATAAATAAAAAACGAGATACTATCACTGCTATGGCCCAGCCCCGAGTCGAACGGGGTCCCCGCTGTAATCTTATAGCTACGTGTATCACCCGGAATAAACGCAGGCGTCCCACCACCGGGCCTCTTTCGTCTATCTCCCGTTCAATGCTGAGTGCGAATGTCGAATGCCACTGGACCGAAGAAGATTCGAGCTGCCCGGGGATCTCGTTGCTTGCACTTTGCAAGAAGGGACAAGAACAAAGAAATTAACTACTTCAATGCAGCACGGTCCGGCCCCGGCTCGAACGGGGTTCTCCTGCATCATCATACCGTATCTCCCTATAATAGAAAACGTAGGCGTGGACTCCCACCACCGGACCTTAGCCCTCTTCGTGGGTTCCAGGTCTGGTTAGGACAGATTCGACGGCGATCATCTTGTAAGTTGAGTTCATTCGTTCAAGTCTACGATCATTCGCAGTCGAGTGCAGTCGAGTCCGCCAGTGGAGATCTGGGACGGGACGCGGACCTGCGAAGGAGGGAAGAGAGGAGGAGGAGAAGAGAGGAGGGAGGAGGAGAAGAGGGAGGGCGGAGGGAGGAGATGCGGGCGCATAAAGCTTAGCTTAAGTACGAGGCAGAGGGAGAGGGAGAGGAAGAGAAGAGAAAGAGAAAGAGAAGAGCAAGAAACCAGGGAGGAGGGACGTGGGCGCGGGGGCTACGGCGTAGGCGACGCTGCGGGTGGGAACAAGGAGGCTAGTGTCGGGGTTGAGCGCGGGGAGGGGGACGCGGGTGGGGAAAAGGGATGACGTCCACAGCGACGCACGCCCAGGGGGTTCGGGATGTGGAGGGAAGGGCGTCCGAGCATCGCGGAGGAGGAGGGCGGAGGAGGACGCGCAGGGATCCCGAAAACCAGAAAAGATGCATAAAGTGCACTACGGATACAACAACCAAGGGGACGAGACGGGATGAGAAGAGACGAGACGAGATGGGGAACGGCGTGAACCCAAGCGCAGGGCTACCCGGACGGGCGGAAGCCGCCGTTGAAGTCTGCGGAGTTGGACTGCGTGTTCGTTGGTTAGCATAAGCACATTAGGAAGGGAGGGGTGAGATGAGACGCACGGAGATGTGTGCGCGCGGCGGGGGGCCGGGGGACTTTGAGCAACGCAGGGTTAGAATCCAAAACGAATGAAAGCGGCGCAAGAGGAGACGCGAAAGCGCACCGGAGAGTAGTAGTGTGCGGGCGAGGCCGGGTACGTGGCGTCAATAGGCGGGGGCGGGGGGCCGGGGGGCTGCGCGCATCGTGTATGCATCAGCGACGTAGACGCAACAAGAAGCGGAAGACGCACCGGCGCATACCCGCCCCCCTCCTTCACATACGGCGGCGGCGGCAGCGGGCCCGGGCCCGTCGGCGGGTACTCGCTCGCATTGTTATACAGCTGCGGCTGCGGCTGCGGGTACGGTGATGACGCCACAGGGGCGGCGTACACATTCGGGTACGCGTCGCCGTATTGCATCCCGTGCGGGAACCGGGTTGCGCTGCCGGAGGACAGGAGGATGGGCGGGGGGACGTAGGACTGCGTCGCGCTGCGCTGCATGCGGCGCCGCTGGAGGGCGCAGCAGAGGAGGAGAATGAATACCGCGGCTGTGGGGGGTTAGTTAGTCTGCGTGGATACGAGGAAGTACTAGTGGGAAGAAGAGGAGAGAGACGAACCGATAACGAGGCCGATGGCGGCGGAGACGTGGCCTCTGTTGTTGTTGTTGAATGTGTTGTTGTTTTGCGCGCCGACGCTGCCGGCGCCGACGAGCAGGACCGCGAGCGCTCGTCGTGGTGGTGGTTTGAGCATTGGACGAGTAAAAGGAAGCCGGACCTCGACCACGTGCCCTCTAAAATTAAAATGGAAATTGTGGCGTCACATTGATTTGCAGTCTTATCTTATCGGTTAGCACACGGAGGCTGTGCAACCGGGTCTCGAACGCTCTCGATCGTTGCTCCTCGTCCTTTTGCGGATCCTCCTCGAGCTCGTCCTGGGCTGTCCTGGGATCGCTGAGGCTGCGGACGCTGGCAGCGACGTATGATGCACGCGAAACTGTCTGGACTCCGGACCGACGTTCAAGTTACGGCGGCATGATCGTTACTGGGTCCTTCTCGCCCTTCCTCTCTGTATTCCTTCCGTGGTTTTTCTCGGATCTGCTATTCTATTCTAAGTTACCATTGCTGTATTGAGGCTTCTCGCGCGAGCCTGACGGCAGAAACCTATTTTCCTCGCGGATAAGCAGGATAAGCAGGATAATACATATTGTAATCGCCCTTGTCATATCTGACTATTCTCCTTCTGACTCTCCCCTTGATTAATGTCTTGTCCATCTATCAACCAAAATTCCCGCAGCGCGCGCGACTTTCGCCGCTTCCAATCATTAATCCTGCTTGGCCGACGGTATCCGCTAAAATACCTCGCCCCTCCGTCCCTCCGCGGACGGCTCGTCCTTCCTCTCCCTCAGCCCACTTTCCACTTTGATCTCCCCACCTGGCCAACCGCCCCGAATCCAAACCCCGCAAGTCGGGCCTTCAATAATGTAATTAGAGAGGAGCTGAACGCAAGGCAAGGCACGACAGCCCCCCCCCCCAAAAAAAAGATTCGATCCACGAGAACGGCCCGGCCCCGAATCGAACGGGGCGCTCCTCCTGCATCTCGTTCCATACATAATCAAACGTAGGCGTGGCCTCCCACCACCGGGCCTCGTTTCTCTCTGAATGTTCGATGTGTGGTGGGATACTTTTGTCGGATTGAACTTGTCAAAGCTAAAGCTCGTGCTATTGCTCCCTTCCTTTCCGCGAAAATTAAATTGTATTTTTCACCCTCGGATACACGCATCGCCTCACGATTAAGCGCACCGCCCGTTACTTTAGTTTACGTTCGGCTAAGCGGTGAATTGAACAAAAAGGCATATGATCAAGACAAGGTCAAGGCCCAGCCCCGAGTCGAACGGGGTTCTCCTGCTGGATTTCTCGGAAAATGCAGAACAGAATGCAGGCATGGGCGTCCACCACCGGGCCTTTTCCCTCTCGTGGGCATGGGAGGTGCGAATTAATATCAGCGAGCGATCAACTCCGGTGCCATAGATCCTCAATGGGGTGTCTCATGTATGTGTCCAATACCATCTGTGTCGGCAGATTCTAGTCTTCTCCTTCTAGCCGACCAAATAGAAAATCCGCCAACCATGAAACTGTGGAAAATTATTTCCCATCCAAATTCATAGAAGATCTCAACACAAGGCAAGGCACTGCGGGACGCCAAACAAAAAAGAAGACAGAAATGCGAAGACGGCCCGGCCCCGAGTCGAACGGGGTTCTCCTGCTGAACTGCTTGAAGAATGGAATTGACTGCAGGTGTGGGCTCCCACCACCGGGCCTCTTCCCTCTCTTTGTGTGCAGTGTCGTGTCGTGGCCATGGGATTCCGAGGCCCGTACATTGTCATCCGGGAGTAATCAAAACCAATGACCATAAATTCAACACAACTCCCTCGACGGAAGCTCAGAGTTACGCAACACTCTTTCCATGTGTTTTTTTAGATTTTGGGGCTGCTCGTCCTTGCTGCCCAACCACGAAAAGTGAATGTGTTGTTCTTTTTAAAAAGGAAACTTCCCGTCGGATGGCCCGACCCGAGTCGAACGGGGTGCTCCTGCTGAACCTCCTACAAGATCATATGATAGAATGCAGGCGTGGGCTCCGACCACCGGGCCTCATTTCTTCACTTTGTTCCTCCATTTCATTGCTTTGCGAACTTGGGGTTGTGATACAGCGAATTCTCCAAAATAGGTAAAGGCCAGCACTCATCCATGTTTGATCACATCATGGTTGGATCACATCGACCTAACCGGTAGCCCCGACATTTTCGTCGTAGTGGAACTGAATAATAAAAGATAAAGACAGGGTAAAGAGGAGAAGCGAAATAAAGGAATAAATAAAAAGACTTCTATGAG